GGGTATGAAATTTTAAAAATTTTGGCAGACTGTCACAACATGCTTCCTTCTACTCTCTGGTCTGCTGCTACTTGTAGACAAATGCATTGTTTTCTAGCACATCCCAGCCAGAGGACATCAAGGTCTTATTTACCTTGATGGCTTATATTTCCTTAATTTTTTTTCACATATTGGAGGATGAAAGTAAAGACAAAGGAAGATTCTCATCTAGACGTATTCATTTTGTTTTACATGCTCAATACTATCTGAAGAGGTTCATGGTAAGAACCATATGCTTGTTTTTCTTTTTTTTTTTTTTTTTTTTTTTGCCTCCAATGTCATGACAAAAATCCTGTGACATTGCTGTCATTGGTCCACAATTCCAATGTGGTTAGCAAGATGTCTGTTTAGGTGGACATTGGAAGAAGTTGATGCTGATGTCAACTAGGCACCTTTGCTGCAGAAGCTGCACCAGCAAATTCAGCATTGCCTTTCGTACAATTTGCTTTTTTATCTTGTTTTAAAACCTCAGGACAAAAACATGCTGTAAGGCACTGTGCAAGGATCTCTTGCAAAATGAAAGAAATTTTTCTGTGTGCTGCATTGCATTTGCAAGAGAGGCAAGGTTATTGTGTTCTTATTTTGAATTCTGTTTTATTCAATTTCTCATTATTGTTTCAAAGATATAATGTAGTAATAGGGAGCTTGGTAGCTACATAAATAATTGGCTGCCTTAGAACAAGTAACTGGTCAGGGTATCTCAAAAAGATCTGGATCCTGTGCTTGGTCACCTGTATGGAACCTCATCATGCTTGGTTGATGAGGCAAAATCTCTTATCAAAATGGCCTCAACAGCCCACAAATGCTCAGTTGTGCTAGAGAAAAGAAAAAGGAAGAAGAATTAGTCATGCAGAAAATTGTGATTTTCAGCCTCACACTCTTCCCTACCCATCCCCATTCCATAATGATAAGATAATTCATGATTCCCTTTTACTTTAGATTTTCCGAGACACTGCAAACTATGGTGTTTTGGATATCACTCAATCAGGCAGCACCCAAGGAAATGCTGACATGAATGTGACACAGGCCGGAAAAGCCAACAAGAGGAGGAGGATTGAAGTTGGCCTACAACCTTTAGCCTCCAAACTTAGGGAGGAAGGAACTCATCCACATGTGATTCCTTGGTTTGTAGCAGTGAAGATTTTCCTTGTTGTTTGTTGGTTGGTTTAGGTAGGACTTTCTGCTTTGCATTTAGGTTGTATATTAATTAGTTGAATGTGATGGAAGTGTTTGGCTAAAGTTCGGCCATAGAAAAACAGCCTCCAGAATTTTGGTGATATGTTGACCCAGAATGCTTAAAACAGCTTACATTTGAAAGTTATGTTTTACTTTCTCTTACTTCATTTTTTTTGCCTCATTATTTTTATTCTCGTAGATGGGATGCTAGTAAGAATGCTTCTTGTTGCTGACAAATCATGTAAAACCTGAACTAAGCTGGTTAATAGATCTATTGTAAGTTGGTTATCATTGACCTTAATTTTCTTCTCTCCGTCAGGTACCAAATTCTCTTAGAGTTGCTGAAATCATACTCAGGCTTATTTGATACTGAAAGGTGCTTGCTGATGTTGGATATGTTCACCTGTACCCTAGGAGAGAGCAGGGTCACATTTGTACAAGAACACATTATACAGTACGTATTTGTTTATAATTTGGTTTCAATAAAAGATTATTATATATTTAAAGGAGGAGTGACACTTTTTTTGCAAGCAGCTGTTTGAAGGTAATTTTGATTAATTTCCCAAATACCTGTAATTGTCAGAGAATGATGTTTTATCTAAGCACAGTCTAGATCTTTAGAAATAAAAACCATTGGAAAACTTAGATACTTTTATATTGATAATTGAATCATTAGTTTTCATTTATTCTAATTAATATTTATTGTCATATATTCATTGTTTTCTATTTTATTTTTTTTTCTGTAAAAGTATTAATCTTTACTGATAACAATATTTCCACCAATAGGTGTCTAGGAGCTCTTGCGCTGCAGTACAACAAAGTTTTTCCTGAGAAAAGTGCTCATGAACTGATGAGGAGTGGCAAGTGGTCTCCTGTTTGGGATCTTGTGCTGAGGTGTGTTTAGATTGACTTTTTAGCTCCAGAAAACTTAATTTTCTCAGCCTAAGATTGTTGCCCAATTGCAGAAAGCATCAGTTTTTCTTATTTCACCATAGCCACTTCAGGATGGTGCCAAAGGAAATAGAAAAAATGTGGTGTGTGGATACTCCTCCCTAATTTCCTCCCCAGAGGATTATATTTGCAAAGAAAATGTATGTAATAAGATTTTGCAGTACCCCATACCCACTGTCCCTCCTTTAACTTTATGAAAGTTAAAGAAGTGATTGCCTTTCTGTAAGGATAGCTAATTTATTTCTGCTTTACAAAGATGTAGATATAGTCCCTTTTCTGATGACTGATTCAAACGACTGCTCTGATCGCTTTGTCTGTTTATATACATATACTGTATGTGCTACGTACCTAGTTCTATATATGTATATGTATGTATATATGTCTATACATATATTTATTTATATGTCTATAATTTATATTGCTGCGCATGTATGTGACATGCATGCTATTATTACTGTAAATGTATACTGGAATCATCATCCAAAGTCTGCCATTCCTTTATATTCTCTATTAACCCAATGCATCTCGATGATGTGTAGTTCATCTCTCTCTCTCTCTCTCTCTCTCTCTTCTCATCTCTCTCTCTCTCTCTCTCTCTCTCTCTCTCTCTCTCTCTCTCTCTCTCTCTCTCTCTCTCTCTCTCTCTCTCTCTCTCTCTCTCTCTCTCTCTCTCTCGTCTCTCTCTCTCTCTCTCTCTCTCTCTCTCTCTCTCTCTCTCTCTCTCTCTCTCTGTCTCTCTCTCTCTCTCTCTCTCTCTCTCTCTCTCTCTCTCTCTCTCTCTCTCTCTCTCTCTCTCTCTCTCTCTCTCTCTCTCTCTCTCTCTCTCTCTCTCTCTCTCTCTCTCTCTCTCTCTCTCTCTCTCTCTCTCCTCTCTCTCTCTCCTCTCTCTCTCCCCTCTCTCTCCCTCTCTCTCCTCTCTCTCCCTCTCTCTCTCTCTCTCCTCTCTCTCTCTCTCTCTCTCTCTCTCTCTCTCTCTCTCTCTCTCTCTCTCTCTCTCTCTCTCTCTCTCTCTCTCTCTCTCTCTCTCTCTCTCTCTCTCTCTCTCTCTCTCTCTCTCTCTCTCTCTCTCTCTCTCTCTCTCTCTCTCTTTCTCTCTCTTTCTCTCTTCTCTCTTTCTCTCTCTCTCTCTCTCTCTCTCTCTCTCTCTCTCTCTCTCTCTCTCTCTCTCTCTCTCTCTCTCTCTCTCTCTCTCTCTCTCTCTCTCTCTCTCTCTCTCTCTCTCTCTCTCTCTAGATATATATATAGAGAGAGAGAGAGAGAATGAGAGAAAGAGAATGCATCTAATATATTATATATATAATTTTTTTTCTTTTTGTTTTCTTTTTTTATGATTGAATGCATTTACGAAATATTTTAGACGTGTATTAGTATTATATATACAGAACAATGAAAAAGAAATTATGATTATCTTCGCAATTGTCTCGTTACAAAGTACAATAAATGAGCCTTTTTATATAGATATATAACATTATCATATTATATTGAAAAAAATATAGAGAAATGGAACTTAGAACAGTGTCAGAACTTTCTATGACAGATACTTTTTATTGTGTCTCTTTAAAAAGTAGAAAATAAAATAACAGCTATAATTGCTGAAACTTCCATGCATTTTAATCTGAAATATTCCCCAGACTGGTTAGTGGAAAGCAGTGCAGCAAAACTGGCTTAGAGCTTCTCCAAATTCTGATGAAGACAGGTCTTGTGGCTCCTGACCTCTCAATCTTCAAGTTGTTTTATCAGGTAATGCATAAATCACACCTCTAGTTTTGTAGATGAACATTTTCTTCAACCAGGGTGCACAACCCATTAATGCCGGTATATTTTGAAGCTGAGAATAAAAGATTCTGGGCGGTTACAAAATCGGCGCGCGGGGCTGGCTTGGACTCCGCGGCCCGCTGCTGCGTCGGAGTGCCAGCCCTAATACAGCGTCACACTGGTGGGACGCCTGGCAATATTTATTTTTTCGGGTGTCTCATATGTGGGACACCCGTCATTAGTGGGTTAAAAATAATTTGTGTGCTACAAGAGGATGATAATGTTAGTAATGTTAATCTGATATTCTGTATCCACAGTTATAAATAGGATTGCATACATATGATTTGCAATTTCATCTGGTTTTTGTATTTGTCTTTTCTTCCTCCTCCTATTCTCAATTTTTCATATCGTTTCCTTGTCTTTTGCCCTTTTTTTCAATTTGTTTTTCTTAATGTGCCTCTTCTACATTTTTTCTTGTTTACATTCAGGTTCCATTCATATTTTTCTTCTCTCCTCCTTAGGGATATGTAGACATGAATGCCACAGCCACATCCACTCTTCTGGTGGCTTTGACAACTGTATCTTTGCCAAAGACATTTAAGGTTTGTTGATCTTGGAAATTCATTTGAATTGCATGATAATTGATACTGATTATTTTGTAATAGTGACTTTTCTTTCGTTTGGACTGAATTTTGAATTTTACAGTCATTGCTATAGTTTCCTGAAAATACTTTTGTGTAATATATATTTGTTATTACCTTTTAGTAGTGTTTTCATCTTTATTAGTAGTGTTAAACAATGTAACTAAATTATACTGTTAAAATGCTAAGAAGGTCATTTGATCTGTTTTTTTATGTCTTTTCCAGAATGAATTGTCAGTCCTGGCTCAGGATCAGGTGCAGGATGCTCGTTCTAGTCTACGGAGAATCCTCTTGCCTTTGGAGGTTGAGGGTGCGTGTATTTTCAGTCTAATGTTTCTTTTTCTGTTTTTCTTTGTTTGATTTTTGTAGTTTGGTATATTTTTGATGTGAATGTTTTTATACTCTTTTCTCTTTTATTTTTCATTGTATCTGTATCAGTCTACCTATTTCTGTGTGAATATTTATATGTGTGTTTTTCTAGTTTCATTTCATTTTTTTTCTGTAGTTACTTTCTAAGGAGAATACTAGGCATATTAGGTTTCTTTCAAAATATTGAAAGAAAAAAAATGTTAAATAAGTATTTCAACTAAATTGATTATTTCTTCTTGTCTCTGTGTCTTGTCCTGTCTTTCATTTTTTTATGTTTAAAATCTTTTAATGATAACATGTTTGATAACAGGAACAAGTGGAATTGCATCCCTAGAGAGCCCCTTACTTCTGGCACAAGTCCTGGTGCTTACTTGCCTCAGGGATTCATGTATAAAACAGGTAACAAGGCACTTGTAGACATTACAACAGTATAAAAATTGAGATGAATAAATGGATCTAATGTACTTGGTGAAATGTAAAAGTTATATGGATTTATTTGTTGAGACAGATTATAAAGCTTTTATTTTTAGTTATGTGTACTTATATTGAAGAGCCATGGGTTTCAGTAGGCTTCATATGGTCTGAGGAATCAAAGAAAACATTATTGTAACAAAAATGAAGGTCATAGACAGAAGTTATGAGTGAATTTTTGTATTTTGTTTGTTATTTTTTTGTGAATTTCCAGAGTAATTCAATGTAAGGGAAATCTTTTTGTCAGTCAGAACATTACCCATATCATAATTAATCAATGTTATGCACTTTATGCTTGTATGTATATTTATATGTATATGTGTGTATGTTTAGCTATATAGGCATATATATATATATGTATGTATATGTATGTGTGGGGGAGGTGGGCCTTGCCAGTCCTCCTCCCCCCCAGAGATAACTCTTTGGCAACATTGCATGTAATTAGAAATGCTGGGGGGAGGGGAAATGCCCCTCTCACCCAGCAAGAGAGGCGGGCTGCGGACCCCACAGGGAGGGCGACTGCTGGGGTGCAGGTTGGGAATGGGAGCTACTGGCAGCTGCCAGCCCAGAATGAGGCTTGTGGGGCAAAGCCATCGGGAACCCCACAGGTGAATGTTGGGTCCCGCAGCCTACCACCCCCTTTTATGTGGGGCAGAGGTGACGGGGGTGGTAGAGGTGGCTTCCACCTGGAGTGACTGCCCAAGGGTTAACTGCAGGCAGGAGGTCAGGATGGGGGCTTGGAATATCCACTCTTTGGGTCAGGATGATTGGTTGCCTCTTCTATTGAGGGAACTGGGGAGGCTGAGAGTTGGGGTGGCTGCTCTATCGGAGAAGCTGCAGCAAGACCTAGAAGTAGCCATAGCTATCTCCAGTAGGCTCAAGCGTGCAACGCTTGATGCAGCCCAAGAATCGATTGGTGAACGCCTGAGGGCAAGACAGAATTTTATCTCTCAGGAGATGCTGGAAGCCACAGATGTCTGCTGTATGGCTCTTCTGACAGGGGATCGGGATTTGCACCATTCTCAGGTGCACAGAACTCGGTCTCTGTGAAGAATGGACAAGGAACAGTTTATGAGGAGTCTTGCTGAGGAGGTCGAAGGCCATTTCTTAGTAAATAACCTTTGTCCTGCATACCAAGCCCTGAGAAAGCCGAAATCCAAGCCCTCTTCACAGGTGACTGCATTTCAATCATCTCAGATCCTGTTGCAGTGCATTGGGCTAAGTATTTTGAACAGTTGTATCAGGTTGACTCACCAACAGTTACCTTGGATGCAGGTAGTGCTGTGATTCCGTTGCCGGTTCCACCCATCAGTAAGGATCCACCCTCTTTGACTGAAGTCAGGGAGGCGATCTACAAGCTGAAGAGTGGCAAAGCAGCGGGTATTTGTGGCATTCCAGCTGAACTGTTAACCCATTTACAATGGGTGTCCTATATATGAGACACCCGGAAAAATAAACATAGCCAGTGTGACTTGGATCGGAACTCTTACTCCGAATACGTTTCAGGCCGCGGCCAGCATGAGGGCAGATTTCGTGCCGGCCCCACGTGCCAATTTTGTAGCTGCCTGGAAAATATTATTTTTGGCTTCAAAATATACCAACATTAGTGGGTTAAAGGCTGGTGGTGAACCTATGGCGTGCGGGTTGCATGCTGTCCTGACTGCTATCTAGTGGTCTGGTACCGGTCCCCCTGACCTGTGGAGGGGTGTGGTTATCCTTCTCTGGAAAGGGAAGGGCGACCGATGGGACTGCAGCAATCACTGAGGCATCACACTGGTCAGTAAACCAGGCAAGGTCCTTGCCCACATCCTTCTGAGATGTATCAGAGATCACCTACTAAGGCATCAGAGGCCAGAGCAATCTGGATTCAGTCTTGGTAAGTCCACAATAGAATCAAGTCATTCCAGAGCGCCGTTGTGAGTTTGGGGGTGGGCTGCTTGCAGCCTACATCGATTTCAAGAAGGCGTTTGATACGGTGCATCGGGAATCACTCTGGGAGATCCAGAGACGACTGAGAGGATTATTGAACTAATAGCAAGCCTGTAAACTGGTACAGAAAGTGCTATAAAGTGTGGTAGGGGCCTGTAGAGCTTCTTTCCTGTTAATTCAGGAGTGAGGCAAGGCTGTGTCCTTGCACCAACACTTTTCAACGCTTGCATGGACTGGATACTGGGCAGAGCTACTGTTCAGAATCATTGTGGAGCAACAGACCTTGACTTTGCTGATAATGTTGCTATTTTGTCTGAATCCTTGGAAACCTTAGTGGTGGCTCTTGATGCATTTAGTAATGAAGTGAAGCCCTTGGGTATAGAGGTCTCCTGGACCAAGACCAAGATCTAGGATTTTGGGGACTTGCTAGGAGAACCTTTTCAGTCGGTACGTGCTTGCAGCGAGGACATTGAAGTCACAGAGAGCTTTACATACCTTGGTAGTGAAGTCCATAACTCTGGGCTGTCAGAGCAAGAAGTCAGCAGACAGATTGGCCTGGCAGCAGGGATCACAAACTCTCTCAACAAGAGTATTTGGAGATGTCAGTACCTGTGCAGAAGGACCAAGCTATGGGTTTTCAAGGCCCTAACAATACCAGTTTTGCTATATGGTAGTGAAATCTGGAAATTAAACCGTGTGCCTTGGAGTCTTGTCTCGATGCCTTCTGTAATCGGTGCTTGCACCGGATCATGGGGTACTGTTTGTGGGACCACGTGTCCAGTCAGTGGTTGCACTGTGAGACTGGCACAGGACCTACTACCTGCACAATCTGTGATCGCCAACTCAGGATAAACGGCCATCTGGCTCGCTTCCAACAGGATGATCCTGCCCACCAGATTGACTCTGTAAGAGATAACCCTGGGTGGAGGAGGCCTGTGGGACGAGTTAGGAAGATCGTGAGGAGCTTGAGATGGGCCGAATCCTTGTCTAGCGGCTTGCTATGAGGGACCCCAAAAGGTGGAAACAAAGGGTGGACGCGGCTGTGCGCCCCTGTCGACTTTAGCTCCTAATGATGATGATGCATTTTATTGGCATAAACTTGAGGCCTTTAGAAACAGTAAAGAAAATAAAAGAAATAGAAATGAAGAACTGAAAGCCATGTCATTAACTCATTGATGTCAGTTTTTGGACTCACCTGACTTAATCTGATTTTCCCATTCTTTGAATTATTAGGGAAAAGTATCTTCCTAAAATTATTAACCCGTTGGATCCGGTTGTGTCATGGAAATCACAGTGCTGAAAACACAGGCAGTGGGTTATGTAAGTAGCCAACATCCTGGGCTTATGGCGCGTAGGCCAGGCACACACAAACACCCACAAGAGGTGACAAGGCACTGTGCCTCCCCTTTGCAAAGGTTTGTGCACTCGGGGCAAGTTATTTCCCTCACCCTGGCCTTAGCTCATGACAGCAAGTTCACGTTGCCCGGACCGCGGTCATTTTGCCCGAGGATGGAATGTTCATGTCACCTGGTCCTCGATCCAGATTTTACCATGAAGTGACCGCAACATCATTTGGGTCCAAGGGGTTAATAACATTACTGTCATTACTATTATTATTTACATTGTGATGATTATATTCTTATTAACAATACTAATAACAATAAAGAATATAAGACAAAATTGTTTTCAAGAAATGAGATTAGGTAGGACAGTTAATGAAATTCTTGTTGACTAGGCACTTGTAGAATGAATTTTGTGTAAACAAAGTGAAATCATTGTGGAAGTTGCATATAAGTGCAGACCCTCCTGGTATTAATAGGTTCAGCCACATTTCCAAATTCTGCAGGCAGTCTTCATGCAACACCAACTGAAGCCAGGAAGACTGAGCAATAGAGATCCACTGACTTGCCTAGCAGAACACTATCTCTTATCAAGCTTTTCCAAAGCTCTTCCCCTAAGACACACCAAACTGGAGGAGAACCAAGAAAATGAGAAGTGGTGTGCAGACATGAAGATTCTCCCGCATGAGCAGGAGAACATGATAGAGAGAGTTGTTTCATATGTCAACCAGGTAAGGGATTTCAAGTTGAGGGGAAAGGTGTATATACAGTTGATCACTTGGTATACAGTGCTTAGCAGATGTGTTGAAATTGAACAAAATTGGAATTTCCTACCTTATTTTGATTGCTCTTTTGCAAAGGGTAAAAAGAGGTTGATATCTGACTTGATAAAGAGATTTATTTTATATACAGCTGTTACCCATGGTCTCCGAGGAAGGAGTGACAGTTCAGGATTTGACTACACTTTTGCTCGCTTTGGAGTTGATTGTGTCTCTTCAGCTTTATATGCCAGATGCAAGGTAAGTTAGGTAAAAGCTTCTGTCGTATTCATTATTATCATTATTTTTTTATTTTATTATTATTTTTTTTTATGGAGACTACACGTTTCACCTCAATGAGGTGTATTCATTTTGTTTTTTATCTAATTTTATGTATTCATTTATGAAGTTTGTAATTGTTAATGATTTACAATGTAATTACTGTGACATCTTTCATTGAGCTTTATATTTTCCATGTCCTTCCATGTTCTTGTGCAGCCAAAGCAATAATTTGTTAATACATTCAGGAATCTCAACTAAATTGAGTTTGCAATCTTTTTAATAGCACTACACATTCAAATGCCAGGTTGAACAAAATAGAGAAGAATCCACTCTTTTCCCCATAACTTTGGCTGTGATGATATAAGGAAAGTCCAATTTCTCTTTTCTTGGAGTGTATATACTTTGCTGGTTGCTCTGCATCCTTGAGAGCTCCAAGAGTGTTTTGTTCCTGTTTCCTTGATTCTCCTCCTTCTTTTGCCATCTTTTATATCAGATTAACCTTCCCCCCTTTTTCTATCTGTTCCTCATATGGGTCAAGAGAGTTTTGTCTTTCACATTGTTTTCTGTGTGGTTTCTCACCTTGGATCCTTCTGCCCATTAACACTTAATGGCCCTAAGTATGGCTCTGGTTTCCTGATGAGTCTATGGCAGTAGTGATCTAGGATCCTTTTACTTAACAGCAGTGGTGATACAATTACAAATGATGTTACACCAGATACAGAAGTAAAGAGAAGACTAGCAGTGGGTAAAGGGAAGTTTGCAAAATTTGATAATCTCTGGAATACCAGAAATATCTCCACATATACAAAGGAGAAACTTAAAATCATTGATAATTTCTATCTCTCTATTGATGTGGAGCATGGACACAGAACAAGTAGACAGCGAAAAGAATTCAACCTTTTAATATGATGCTTTCAAAGAATCCTTGGAATCACCTGGAAGCAAAGAATTGCAAATGAAACTGTAATGCAGAATCTTAAAGATCTCATTGGAAGCTAAAAACCACTGATTGAAATTGTGAGGAGGAAAATACCAAGTCACCAGGAACGTTGGCACACACTACCATGCATGGACAAGTATATGGACAGAGGACTAGAGGCCAACCAAAACACACCTGGCTAACCAACATCAAAAACTAAACTGGTTAACCCAGTAGCAATAGCTTACGAAGAAGCAGAAGACCGAGGGAATTAGCGAATGAAAGTGAGGACATCAAAATGTCCCTTTGGCCTTCCGGCCATGGGAATACCCTAACCCAGCTTCACAACCCCAACTAATGGAATGCCAGCATGGACAGATGGTGGTGAGGGATGCCTACACTGTTTTTATGTTACTTTATCCTCTTGGCTTGGAAATTGTTCTGAACCACAACTTTTAACAGCAAAGCTCAATTCTCCATACAGGCTAGATAGTTGTGGTGTACTCCTTTAGTATAACCCTCAACTCTGTGCCAGACTGGCTCCTATAAGGTGACATGGCTCTCGACTCATCTGTGCTGCCACCAATCTCCCTGAATCAGCCCTTGAGTGCTGCTATAAGATCTCTGCTGATTTCTAAATGCCAGCTAGTCATTGTGTGCCCCAGCATATAGTAAATAGGCACCTGCTTATTCTCCTCTATTTCTCTCACCTTACCTCAATTGATGATTAGTGGGTTTGATTAGAGTTGACCACAAGCTGTGATCTCCCATCTCTGTTATGGTGGGAAGAAACACTTTTATTTGATGTCTTCCCTCTTTCTAAGCTGTGGCTAGCATTATGTGCTCTGTTTCTTCACTGAATCCTTTCCATTCTCCATGTATACATATGCTGCAAGAGACAGGGAAGTTTGCTCTCTCCTCAGCTTAGCTGCTAGAAGGAAAGGAAGAGCTCTCAGCCACACCATTCAAGCATGTGGTGTACTGGTATGGTACATTCTTATGCATTCTTTCCACAGCTGTAGTCGTGGTATCAAAAACTCAGGATTTTTTCCTGTAACTTTTTTGTTATGAACAAGATGTACTTAGTGTTCACCGATATATTCTTCAGCCAAGTAATTGGTCACCTGTTAGTAAACCCATTGTCACCTGTTAGTTAACCCATTGGGCATGGCATGTACGTACATGCCATGCCCCATTGTGTGTATTGAATTTAGTAATTGTTTTTACATACTGATGGCTCCACAGGTACTAAGTCACCAATGAGCCAATTACGTGAACTACCTGTCTCCCGTTTACCATTTTCCTTGATTTTCGATAATATTTTCTAGTATTTCATATTGCTGTTAGTAATATCAGTAACAATATAGTAATTATAATAATTATAACAAGAAGTAGCAGTGTCAATATTGATTGCAGCAGTAAGAAAAAACATTTTCCCACTTTTTCAAGGAAAAGTGAGGCTGTAAGATCTACTGATTGACTCCTTTGGGACTAAGCATTGGCAGAGCCATATATGTGCAGAAACATTTAGCCAGGCATTGCCAAAGGGAACGCACTGTTTTCCTGTCGACATTGGGTTAATGGGTGTATGTCATTTATATTAAAGTGATGCCATAGGAAACAGCTTTTCATTGCCTTTGGTCTATAATTGACACACTTATTCACCATCATGATATGTGTGTATGGAGCTGTTGTCATTCCTCTTTTGGCCAGAGATGTATCCGCTTTGTTGAGATTGTGTGTTTAACTGCCACTCACCAGTTTTAGGACCCATGGATTATGTTGCAGTTGTTCTGTTGGTCTGGCTAATTTACTGCCATTGTACTAAATATAGTACAAGGGGTTCTTGACCATAAATGCACACTCAGCCTTCCTTTAACATATGGGTTCACCAGTTAATGAAGAGTGCATGTACCATCTTCTTTAGTTTTGTTCAACTAATTTTGTTTATACTTAGATGGTTCTATGTGTGCTTTGTTACCAAGGAGTCAGATGTTTGGCCTACTTATGCTGCATTCGGAACTGCTTGTCCTGCTCATCCAGACCAGTTGGATGAGATGTTTTGGCCGTTCGGAACCTCTACCATCTCGTCCTGGACAAGTTGTCCATCTTGTCCATTTCGCCCTCCTGCAAACCTGGGTGAGCAGGACAAGATGACATCACAATAGATTTTATATGTAAACATTGACAGTTGCAGGTAACCACAAGATATTGGGGGTAATTTTATGGCCCTTTATTGGTGTTATCAAAGAACATTTTTGTGTTTGTCAGTTGCAGGTAAGTTAAATATGCATCAAAGGGGTTACAAAACCTGTGCAGCATATAAAATAAAGACACCTGCATTATAAAAAAATTGAATGTTTACATTTGAGCTGGTTGCATTCTGGGCAGAAAGGGTCTTGGAGGTTCCAAACACGGCCCACTTGTCCTGCTGGTCCTGGACAAGTTGTCTGAATGAGCAAGATGAGCACTTCCAAATGCAGCATTAATCTGAACAGTTTACCTCAGTTCTTCAATTTTAGCTAAATTTTTATTTCTATTGATATTGTTTGTTATTATTATTCATATCTTTATTAATGTCAAGAACAGAAATGATATTAATAGATTTTTACTATGAAAGTTCAAGGATTGGAGTGACAAATCTCTTGTGAGTTTAACAAATATGAATAAAACCAAACCATGATAAGACAATACACATGCACTCAGACATCAGCATGTTGATTTTGAGTATGTACAATCATGTTGGCCTCTCTTTGCTGCTCCTTTTTTTAAAGTAAGATAATTCCAGACTTGGTTCTGTTTATCGTCTTCTGGTATGTAGTGACTTATCATGTGTTTGTGATTTATTCTTCTCCCTTTTTTTAGGGTTTGTTCTTCAGTGAGCAAAATATTCCTTTGTCCTGTATTGCCATAGGTTAGGGTGTTACATTCATCCCTATTTTGTTGGAGAAAATAGAACTGATGAATGTGGAGGAGTGGTTTGTTGTGGACTTTGTCAGCGTGGATTCTTCTCTTATTTTGATCTTCCAAGGTACTTAGATGTACTATGCAACTGTAGTAATTGCATGCAATCAACCTGTTTGAGATTTCTGATTGGGTTCATACCTGACTGCACCAGCTCTTTCAGACAGTATTCCTGTTTTCCTGTAGAATTATACGAGACATATGAGCTTTGATCATTTTATGATCTACAGTATGTAAAACAGTTGGCATTAGATCTACATAACAAAAATATTTTACAATGCTTATCCCCCCCCCCCCATCCCTAAATGTCAACCAGGCTGGAGACACTCCTGGATCAGGTCATGGGAAAGGTAGGTTTGGGTCTCAAGAAGATTTGGAATGAACCGGAGCTTAATCGTTGGAACCAGCTCCTGCCTCTCTTGGAACATCTCAGCACGCTGTACTCAAGAGTCACTGACTGTGCGAAACTTCTTAAGGTAAAGAGTATTTTCACTTTCCTTCCTCTGTGTGGATGTTTTATGTTGGTATGATACATTACTGCTAAGACATCCAAATCTTCACATTCCCACTTCATATTTTCATTACCTTCACACAATATCATTATACATCTGTTACCTTAGGATCAAATCACAAAGAGGAACAGAGAGGAAGTACGGAAATTGCTGATGTCCAAAACACCTGCCATCCTCTATGGCTTGATTTTGGAGGCAGTGAGGGCTAGGGCCACAAAACCTGTGAACACAACCCAGCTTGGATCTACGCAGATCTACACAAGCAGAAGGCCCTTTACAAGTGGAAGAAGTAAGATATTGGAGCCCTCGGCAATGTTTATGGGGAAAATCCTATATTTACCTTGTTTTGTTTTCTTTGTGAAAACCCCAACTAGATAGGAGCTGTTGATGTTCCTACAGAATTGATAGTGGTATTGTTAGATCAAAGGTTGTATTAATAATTGTCATTGATTTCCATTGTATTAGCCTATTTGCAAGATTTTTTACATGTATAGGTCCAGCATTAGGCGGAGGAGGAAGAGGAGTAGTAGGAGGATCTAAAATATATGTTTATATTTTATATCATGTATTGCAGATGCAATGGATGATGATTTTGAAATGGACTTTGATGACAGAGAGAGTGAATCCACAGTTGTAATGAAAAATGACTTCGAAGAGTTTGGGAGTGATGACGAAGACAAATCAAATGGAACAGTTGGTGAGTTTTTTTAAGAAAGAATTGATATTGGAGAAAAAATTGAGTTTATTGAAATTTTTTTTTTTTTTTTCTGATTGTAAGTTGTTTTGTCCTGTATAGAGCTGTATGCCTATAAACACATATGGCTATGTAGGACCCCTAAATATTTTCATTTCTCATGCTATCAGGGACAAAGGGTAAGTGGTAGGAGTTTGATATTTTGGAAATGTATTGATTTCATTAATTTTCTGTGCTCATTTATATGTTGTCTATATGTGTGTTGAAGTAAAATAGAAAATTATGAATGATAGTGCTCTCCCATCTGCCTGCATACCAGAATGCCTACAGTATATATCCAGTACTAACACAACAACCCATATTTTTCCTCTGGACAAAAGACCAGCTGAAACTTGATGACAACAGCACCCTAAGCTTTAAGGACAAGTGTATTGTGGAGGCCCAGAAGCTCATCGTCTTTACACATGGATTTGTGCAGGGCGTAGGGAGAGATGATGAGAATAACCAGCCTTTATTGGAGGTTGCAGAATTGATGGAAGACCTTGCCAAGAGCAGTCAGCTTGAGATGACTGATGTTGTTGTGGTGAGTTGAGAGAGAGAGAGAATGAGTTAGGGAGGGAGGGGGGATGAATGAATAAGGACATAGTGAGGGAATAATAGGAGAGTAGAGGGAAAGAGGTAAAATTCTTTTTGTTATTTGTTCATTTATTTTATTTCTTATTAATTCATATATTATATTCATTATTTTTTCATATATTGAAAGGAAAGGCTGTTAAAGCAAGCTTTGTATTTTTCTTATTTTTATTTGTCATTACCTTGTTGATGTGATTTTTATGCTATTAGTATATATATGTATCTGTAGAAAAGAAGGTGCTTTTATTGAAATAATTAACCTATCTTTCAGATTCTCAACTTTGTGGTTGCACTGTTCAAGGCTGAGTATGATGAAGCCAACATGCAAGATGGGTTTGTTCTTTTAAGTGCTGTCAGCAAGAAGTATTCATCAGAGCCCCAGGTTGCTTCTTTCATTATCAAAATCATCACAGGTGGGTAAAGATGGTGTGATGTCCTGGATTTGACTGAAGTGCATTAGATAAATGTGTACATACATACAAACATACATATAGATATGTGTGTGGATACATATATATATATATATATATATATATATATATACATATATATATATATATATATATATATATATATATATATATATATATATATATATATATATATATATATATATATATATATATATATATATATATATATATATATATATATACTATATATATATATATATATATATATGAGTTTCACAGTCAAGACAAAGTTTGAATGTTAAAGAAGAATGAGGGCAGTGACGGCATTTATAGGAGGTGCATGACACATGCAGCAAATACCCCCACTCAGACATAGAATGAAGTGTAGTGAAGGTCATCACTCCTAACTATTCCTTAATTGCCAGGTATGAATCATACACTACTGTGAGGTTACCTTACTTGCTTATTATTTGCTTTTGGTTTCACTTTGTTCTTACAGAGTTTGACAGACTCCAGCACAAAATAAAGTCATTATTATAAAGATGATGTCATAAAAGTCATTTACTAGTAGTCATTTGGATTCATTTGTGGCATATTTTATGAAACTTTGACCCTGATTTTCCTCAAGACAAATTTAACTTGGATTCCCAATTGATTTTCACCCAAATAGTTGTATTATGCACCATTTTAAAGTTTGTTACAGTCAGTAGAACTTTATTTGCAGTATACCTGTATTTAGTAAATAGAATGCAATATAGGAATTTTGAAAAATGCTAATCATTAAGGCAATATAAAATTACTAGATTATAATATATAGAAGGAACAAATCATGCTCTAGGTACATTTTTCTTTCTATTCAGAATAAAGAAATGGAATTGATTAACAAAAAGGGGAAAAAGTAGTAGCTTATAATTTTTGCTTTTTTGATGATGATTAAAAAGATGTTGGTAAATTTTTGGAAAACGAGTTTTGAGATATCTCTGAGGGCAGAATAGAAAGGTATGAAGGGAAATTGTACCTTAAAAATAGTATATTGTAAGCCCGGTCCCCTTAAAAGGTGCATGCATACAGGTTCATTTGATAAATAGAAAGATTAGAGAAGCTCAACCAGAATGGTGTGTGGTTTCAGCATGCTAGAATGTGCAGAATATGCTTATGAGTTTATGCATGTAATATTAACCCATTCATGCCGGGTACATTTTGTAGCCAAAAATAAAATATTCCGGGCGGCTACAAAATCGGCGGGTGGAGCTTCCCCGGAGTCTGTCCGCCCGCCGGCCGCGGCCCGCTGCTGTGTCGCAGCGCAGCCTCGTTACAGCATCACACTGGCAGGATGCCCGGCATTTTTTTTTTTTTTTTGGGTGTCTCATATATGTGACACCTGTTGCGATTGGGTTATCATGCAAAAAAAAATTCTGTTGACCTAATGTGTTTATATTATATTTCCAGGTACTTGAATTTTCATATTATTTTTCAACAGATTTCCTGACTGATAATGGTGCCTCCTTGTCAGACACAGCCAAGCAAAATGTTGTCTGCCTGTCACAGGCCTTTGCTCAGAAACACCATATGGGGAGCTACAGTTACTTTGCAGACAAAGCAATCTTCCAACTTATGGTAGAAATGACAAAGGTTAGTGGTGTAATTTGAATGA